TGTTCCAATACTTTTGGAGGGGACTGTATATCTATCCCTGAGTGCAAGGTAACAATAGAATAATGACATAAACAATGTTCTTTAAGCAGTGCCACAAAAACCTTTGGTTTACTTTTATAGATTAATAAAAGTGCAAAGCCACTCACTGATCTCCAGTTGTCTCTGGATACGGTCCTTGCAACGGTCTCTATACTTGGATTGTGTGGTGTTGTACTCGGTCATAACCTCCACAAATTTGCGTGACAGTGTGGAATGCTAAGGGTTGACAGGGAAGAGAGGAAAGGCAGGATATATAAAAACAACACAAAAGAAATAAAGCTTGCTTTTCCATAGACTTGACACACAGTGGCAGTGTACTTAGCCCACAATGCATTTTAAATCGATTAAAAATCTTAAAACATGGAGACAAGTTTTAATTCCAATAAAACATTTTTATTAAGGTAAAATAATAAAATTAAAAATTCAAATGAGTCACTGACCTGTGTCTTACGGATTCTCAAGTCCGCAGATGATCTGTTCAGTCCCTCCTCCTGTTCAATACTTTGCTCAATTGCTATGAAAGAGGGAAATACTGGTCAAACTTTTGACAAGAGTCTAGAACACTAATTTCTACCAGCTTCTTCAAATATTTAAAATGTATAAATACACAAATGTAAATATTTATGAACAAAGAAAAGTTCAGAATAGCTCCAAATCATTTACAAAGACATCATTAAATGTGTAGATTCTTGAATATCTGCGCTGAAATAAAAGTAGGAAATATTAATTTCTCAAGATTTCTTAAAATCACTACTGTCCATTTAAACAGCAAGTGCAATTTATTAAGATTTGAGCAGCAAGAAACCCAGCATACAAAGGGGTACCCCTGAATGCCCCCCAGTACAGCTTTCTTGTCCATTTCAAGATTTCATATGTTGTGTATATATAAGTGTTTTACGCACATAGACCATATGACTTCAAGATATGTGGAATTCCATTTCTATCTAAAAGCTTTAAACACTTTTAATTGCATTTTCAATTGGGTATTGTGTATTTATTGCTTTCATATGCATCTTATCATCAGCCCTTAACCCACAGCTGCCCTGGCCTGTCTGAACTTACTTTCTCAAAGATGGATGATGCTTTGGAAAAAAGACTGCTAAAATAAACATGAATAACTGATTTACTCATATTTCATCAGATCAGTTACTTATAGTGATCTTCAGAGGATTTGGTGTAATTGCCAAAAGGGCTTTTCAGATGAGAAGCATGGCTGGTTGCTAAGTACGCATAACAAATGAAACCATACCTTTTAACTTTGAGCGCACTTTATTGGCTGTTTTTTTAATATCAGCTGTAAGGTCTTCCAACTCCTGTTTAGTTTCTGGGTAAAGGAGAAAAAATACATTGAAATAAGGAGTCATGCAGTATAAATAAATATGGAATTTAAGAAAATGACAAAAGTACAGCACTGATTCACACAGTTCATAATAGCTCATACAATGTTCACAGAAGCTGCACTGCATATTATGTTTAGAAGACTATGCTAATCCATCCATTGATCCATTAATCCATAACCACAGCACATGGCTGCAACCTGCTACTGTAATGCTGAACAAATGAGTTGGGATTAAAAACACATAATTAAATTAATATTATTTCAAAGAATCTATCTCAGAGTCTATTTACATAAGTCCACTTTCAAATCGGTAAGTCTTGTTATCCAAAGAACACAAAGGCAATACATTACATTTCTCCAGGTTTAACTGAATTGGATAATTGCGTCAATCATTTAAGTAGCATTATTAACTACATGAACAAATTAATATTTATAAATATGTTCACACAAATATATACCGGATTGAGACTGAATTACAGGTAGCTCCACTGTATTCAAAGTTTGTTTGCTGGACAACTGTATACAAACAGGGTATACAAGCTTACCTTGGAATATTTATTAACTAGCTATTAAGTGACTAGGTCAATGATACCTTATTAGTTTACATGCCAATCTTTCAACTGTTGACTCTCACCAAGTTAATGACAGTGTCACTATGTCACAAATAAGACATTATTTTATACTGAAGCGCATTTGTAAAATCAGATTAATAGTCAAGACACGTTATTCGACATTTAGTAATAGCCGTTTAAAATTTTTTTAGTAAAATACTGATGAAACTAAATAACATTTAAGTGACCTATATATTCTCAAAATGTTGAGCAATTGTATATACACCACTAAAACACACTTTACTAGTTAACCAACCCGTTAACCAGTAAACAGTTAGCTCACATCAACTTGCTCGGATCATTATTCCCCTGGAGTCACTCCTTCATGATGCATGGTTATAAAAAAGGAAAAAAGGACAATCCAAAAAATTAACAAGATGAAATAAATATAACTAATAAATAAAATAAAAATATATATCTATGCTAAATGAATCATAAAACGTTTATTGATGAGGAAATTGTCTGTGATTAGATTGTCAGTAAATAACCACACAAAAAGGCAAAAATAGACAACATAAAGTACCATACACAATAACATCTGTATAAAAATGAACAACCATAACATATAGTACAACACCAAATAAATACAAAATGAAGAAAACCAATATAGGTGGGCGAATGACAAATGTCCATTATTATTTTTTAGTCCTATAATAAATACATAGGGGAGGGGCATCACGTTCCCAATATCCATATAAAAAATGATTTATTTATAATTTAACATTGTACCTCAGGACACTTGCATAATTGGTAACCATCCTATGCTTAATGGGGTAGATCTATGGGTTTTTATTAACAGTGACTAGAAATTGGTTTAGAATAATAAATACATCATAGACTAAGTGGTAGCATATACAGTAAGCTTGTTTGAACAATACAGTTGATTTTATTATTTTATCAGAAATGCATTCTAAACTTTTAGTCCATGCCACTAATAATACTAAGATTTACACCATATCTATTGGTAAGGCATATTTACATGTTTACAGAATTGTTCTATGGGAAAAAAGGTGAAGTAAATGTGTTCGTTCTTAAACACAATATGGAGCATTCTCACAAATCCATCACTGTAACATATCCATTTTCTGTAATTTTTAAATTAGTTTGACGACAGATTGACAAATTATTGTCTAAAATGTTGATTTTGCCTCAGTTGTAGTTCATCTGTTGCAGAATAAAACAACTGAAGACATAAACATACATTGTACTATATTACTTGAATGTATATTGTGGGTTACTTGCAGTAAAGTTGAAAGATTTAAAAACATTTTATCTGTTTTTTGTTATTTGATCTTAAAATGGCAACAGTAATGCCTATTTGCAGAAAATGGATGAGGGATCATTAAGTCAGAGCTATAAATAACATAATTTTTTATGCCTAAACAGTTCAGGTAATGTCAGGTAATTGTGCTCTGCACAAAATTCACTGTATTTCACTGTAACTTTCCGTTTTTTGTCGAAGGACTCTAACATTCGTGAGAATGACCAAATCCAAAACTGTGGATAACCATGAACCATCCACAGACCACATATAATGTGATATTCATCTACATAGATCGGGGTTGCCAACTCTCACACATCACTCAAGCTCATGTAAGAATTCTTAAGGCAAATATATATTATTCTATTATAAACCTAAAATTAGCTACATCAAAACTGATGGGACAGTCTGCAAACCAAACAGAATATTTACAAGGTATTAAAACTGCGACATAGATGTAACTGTGTGTGCAGACTGTGTCTCAAAGTGAAAATCTCACTCCAGCCAGTTGACCAAAGTAGGCAATCGTGATACAAGTTTAATTGACATTACAAACATAAAATGCAGTAATAATACAGTACATTGTGCATTATTATACAGAACTGGACAGTATTTTACTCTCTCGAAAGAGGTTTTAGCCTAAAATTCTGAAAAGATGATTTAACAATGGAAAAATATGTATCACGGGATGGTGGAGCAATGAAAATCATGCTTTGTATGCCCTCAAAGGACAAAGGAACAAGGAAAAAACAGGGGCTATTGTTATACATTTTACAATGAAAAATATTGCATCATGATAAATAAATAAATATAATCATGTATGTTTACATAACTTGCAATGAGAAAAAAAATTTTGTTTAAAAATATTGTGGCGTCACATTACGGGGGCAGAGAGACATGGAGACTTGCTTGCCAGGGAAATCACGCTCTTTATTAACAGCCCTTAAAAGGAATACAACAGCGACTACCACCCCCAGTCCCCACCACAGTTCCAACACGAGTCCCAGGGGTCCGCTGGCAGCCAACGATACGTCACCTCCGATGACGAGGCAGGTTGCTGTTGCTGGCATGACTAGCTGTTGGCTGGTGCTGGCATGTCAGATCCCCCCCCAGCGCTGACCCTTCTTCTGCACCTTACAGAAGCCAGCGCAATGGGCTGCTGGAGACTTCTGGCAGAGCAGCCCCTTCCTGGACCCGGGCCTTCTTCCTGCCCCGCTTAGGAGGCCCTGGTGTTGTGGGGCAGGCTGGTCCTGCCATGGGGCCTCCTGCTCACAGGGTCCGGTGGCCCTGCACTGCAGGTCCTGCTCCAGGAGTTCATGCAGCTGCTTGCCCTGCTCCGGTTAGGTCACCAGCTCGCCGCACTCCTGGGCCAGCTGGGCCTCCAGAGCACAGCACGCCTCCTCCCGGCCACGCATGGCGACCTCCACCTCCCTCTGCTGGTCGTGCTCGCAGCTGGAGTCGTCCCGCGGCTTCTCGTCACTGACAAGTGGGAAGTCATTGATGGCTGGTGAGTGGCTAGAGTCCACTGTGGTGTCTACCCTCCTCAGTCGCTGACGTCGTCTCTGCCAAGGGTTTGGCAGGCAGGCAGGAGCAGCTTCAGGGTGCTCTGCGTGATTCTGGTGCATCCTGGATGGAGTGGAGGATGCCTCTCTTTTCCCGGTGTCCCCTGTTTGTTTGACGCAGGCCCTGGTGCAAGCAGTGGCAAGCCCGGTGCCCTCCTCTCCCAGAGCACCAGTAAACAAGCTTCACATCTCACGTGAGGTGTTATCGCTTCTCTGCCACCTTGAGGTCCGCCAACCTGGAGCAAGTTTGATGGTTGATGGTGATCAGCGCCCGCTTCAGCCATGCCAACGGGATCACTTCTGGGATCCCACTTCTGACACCAGTGTGGAGATGGGTGGACTGAGGCATCGCAGATGCAGAAAGACATAGAGACTTGCTTACCGAGGAAATCACGCTTTTTATTAACAGCCCTTAAAAGGACTACAATAGCCACCCAACAAGCACCGAACCAAATACACATATGGGAAATACAAGGTTGTCAGATGCTGAACTGCAAGATGCATACACAATGGGAGATTTACACAAGCTAAATACATGCTAGGATCGGACTGGGTACACAAAAGACACAGGGAAACACATATACAATAGGGAAATGCAACCATTAACTTTAACAACAACAATACAACAAGGGCCATTTACAATTCCAGGTGGGGCATGCTGGGACATGTGCCCCGCCGGTGCTACACTATCTTAGGGTAGGGCTGGGCAATTATTTGAAAATTAATCAAAATCATCATTCAGAACCTCTTACGACTTAATCTTGCCCATGTCGGTTTTTTTTAAAAATCCTGTTATTAGGCTAACCTGAAGCAGGTGGTCACAGACTGTAGCATGTCGTATACTCCACTGGAGAAAGATGGCAAAAAGAAGCGGAGAAACAGGAGATGGGAAAATACATCAGAGATCTTCCTAGGGGCCGTCTCTGTCTCCGGTGCCTGCCCTGCTGTGTGTTCCGCAGTTTTCGCTACGCCGGTTCCCAAGGTGCACTGCCTGGCCACGCCCACACCCGCGTATACCCCCGAAGCCCACATTGCTGTCGCTACCTCCACGTGTGTCCCCAAAGCCCACTTTGCTGCCTCTTCCCCTGAGAAGACTCCAGAGGCTTGTCTGCCCGCCACTTCATCCCTGGCTCGGACGTTCTTTACCCTCCAGGGTCTTTTCTGGAGGGTGATGGATGATCCGACAGTGTGGGACTTCCCAGAGGCTGCCCAGCTGTGTACACAGCTTCAAGGGGAGTTTGCTAGGTTCATCCCAACTTCACCACCACGTGAGCTGGATAGTATAGCAGAGAACCTGAGGAGTCTGCTCCATTTGAAGACAGACCAGGCTCCCGTGATAGGGGGGGGCTACAGCACCCAAGGTCAATGCTGTTCCTTTCCCTGAAACCGCGCCCGCACTGGAGGGGCAATCCCCAACTCTGCCCCCTGAGGTTCCTGTCCCTGTAGCTGATGCTCCACCCCCGTGGTTCCTGTGCTGGCGGCTGATGCTCCGCCCCCTAAGGTGCCAGTGCCGGCGGTTCCTGCGGTACTCCCCGAGGTTCCAGTGCTGGC